TCTTTCCTTGCTTCTCTTCTTTTGATGATTGATCGTTGCTTCTAACATTAAATACATAGCGTGGCCACTGTTTCCGAGAGTTCTCTGGGAGCTAGCCAGTTCTTCTCCGATACAGATGACTTCTGAGCTCGGTTGGCAGCATCTGCTGGCTAGCATTCTAGCGATACCATTCTTGACGCAATATGTATTCAATAAAACTCGATACATGGTGCCATACAGGAATTTTCCAGTCTTGCCTAATTTTGTTTTGGTGAATAAAGTCTTTAAGCGTTTGACTGGGTGTGATATAACAATAATTCTTCAGATCCGTTTTCATCTAATCAATTTTCTCTTTCTCATTCTTATTCCTCAAAATGCAGGGCAATTATGTTCGTTCGCTCAACTCTTGATATACAGTACAGAACGTGAAGTGGAAACTTGACAACTTGATAGACCCTAATCAATACCTCCAGAATGGGCGAAAACATTGGGATATGAGTATGCTATAGCGGATACTATTTCCAAAGGGACTGCCTTTTCTAATATTTTACTAGATTTCTATTATAATAATAAAGCCTGTACGCTTCTTGATCAGAAGTCGTGTGATGAAACAGTTGTTTACATACGTTTTCTTCTTTCTTCTTCTTCTTGGTAACACAGAATTCTGTGGAGCTCAACTTATGGCATTCTTTTACATTTTCAGACGGTTATCACTGATCGATTCCATGCGAAGAATATTAAAAAATTACGCGGAATGCTTGCCAAAATATCATGTATATTCTGCTTATAAAATTATACACTACTGACTGACGGCATAGAAAGGGGGATTGGCGACGCGTTACACCACTTTATGCAAGAAAAGACACTACAAGTGATCTCTAGCTACGAAAATGCGAGGGACACAGAAGATCGGTATCCAAACGGTGACAAACGCATACGAGAAGGTCGAGACATATAGTTTCTGGTGACGCGAGTTTCATTTGCTTGACTCACCGTGTGGTGAACAAAGTGGTCGGATTATGTCCAATTTTCCCTCAGAACCTGAAAGAAAAACCGCAGAATGGAAGGTAAACCTATCTCGGAGAACTTCCATCTGATCGCTCTTTGCTTTCATCTACGGATCATAAACTTGTGTATAGCCGCCAAAGCGAAAGTACAGAAGTATGACTGTAATTCCGAGTCAAAGTTCTGAAATGAGCCACCAGGATTATGAGACGTAGAGTGTGATCGACGCATTGTTCAGAAAAGCAGAAAACTCGTAATTTCCTGTAGTTATGCACGAGCGTTTCGATGTGAAGTACCTATGGCGACAACAATAGGATAATATTACAATAAAAACAACCAATATTTTGTCTGGTGATTTCTCTGGAGCATGACGGCGAAACGCTCATGAATAAAATGAATTGTACATCACCTAAATTTCGCGAATGCGTGAAACTGCTGATCGAAAAATGGTGAATCACGACGCGTTATTGAAGGGATCAACTCAGACCTCATTCAAATGCTAATTTAGAAAACAATGCTACTCCATGACTGGGCAAAATTAGAGTCAGCGAAGGTCGTGTTCCCCGAGGCTACTCTAGGTTTAGGAGCATTCGTTACTTAAAATAAATCCATCCCGGGG